AGGGATGGTGAGGGGAGATGCTATTTAGACTTCATCAGAACCTGCAAGGACAGAATCTGACAGGTGACAGTGAGTCAGAGGGAAACGTGGAGGAAAGTCTCAGTGCAGTTAGAATTAAGAGCAAGGCCTTCATATATTTGTGCTTTGGAAAGGTAGATTCCCCAGAAACCCACCCAAGTCCATATCGAAAGATCCCTGAAGCAATCTTGCCTACTAAAGAAAGGAAGGCTCTAAACAATGAACTGCAGCCAATAAAACTGCAGATTATTCCAATGATAAAAGCCATTTAAGTAATTCAGTTCAATTTAGGTTTCCTCAGAATAGTCTCCCTGAAGGTCGATGCAGCAGCACAGGGAACGCTGATGGATGGGATTTGGGAAGGACACATACAACTGGAAAGGGAACGTGTAATCCAGGATGAAATTCTGGGTAAAACTGGTGTGCGTAATGCAGCAAAGAGGCTGAATTTGAAAAGCAGAAACAAAAAATATTCTAAGAGCAGCAAAATAGTTCTTAAAGCTGTTTCTTTTGGATTGAGAACAAGGGGAGGACAGGCTCAGGGATTGTGGCAGATGGTATAATGTTAGATGATGGGGAAAGGCAGAATTTTCAACTCTCAGCTTCTCTGTTTGCTCTACCAAGCAAAATGGTCCTTAATCCAGAAACATTAAACAAATATCTAGAAGAAGAAATTGAATCTGGATAAATGATCCAAAGGGAAAGCTGTAAATTTGGGTTTCTAAGACCAAGTGAAAAGATGGCGCATGAGCGAGTATCTGGATGTGATATTGTCCAATCACAATGTGTTGGATAAACCAAATTAAGCTCCTGCTATTGAAATTACATACAGATATGACCTCAGCTTTGGAAAACTCGGGGGAACCCTGAGACCAAAAGTTGCACATGGCAAAGATTCTGATCTTGGTCAAGATTCAAGAAGAGATTATTAAAGCAATGGTGAGCCCTTTAGAAAGAAAGTTAGAGTTTCCTGTGCACCCTTTGTGCTTACTGAGACACTGTGGAAAAAAATAAATGGCATTTCCTTTCCTGGGTGGAGTTTCACAGTTTGTAGTGTCAACAACCACAGCAAGTGCTGTGCAGCTTGATTTCGCGAAATTATTTTGTTGTCAAAAGGGTCTGTAACAGCCTCATGGGCAAGATGTGGTCATGTAGACTGGAGAATACTAGTTAGGGATATTTATAATCAGCTTCATCCCAAGGCTGAGAAAGGTCTCTGAAGATGGATGCAAAGCCTCAGCGCTAGGTTCAGCTCCATCTAACATTTTGTTTCTCAATGTCACACAAAGGTCCCGGATACCCACTTTCAATTCTGCAGAAACCCCAGCTTAGAGAAATGTGTCAAATAAAGTATTCAGTTTGCCTATAATGGGGCAAAATAAGGTGTTATTTAGCGAAATGCATATAAAGTCTTGACTAAGGTTAAGAAAAAGATCAGTGGCACAAATAAAACATGAACTACCACTTCACCACCACCACTGTGGAAAGACCAGAGTTCATTTGCAGGTTAATAAGAGCCCAACAATGATGTGTGCTAAAGATTCTTCAACCCGGGGTCATGGATGAAGGCAGGGGGCATCTCTCTACTTTCTAAAACAAAAACATTGCATTTGTTTCTAGACTCTCTCTTATGATATATCACGGAAAATTAGAGGGAAAAGGGAGGCAGGCAGCCCTTATCCAATAAAATGATAAATGGCCCAGAGGTGCTAACTATGAACAAAGCCAACTTCAGTAAATTTCAAGACCTGTCTTCAAATACCTGAAAGTCTATCTTGGGAAATAGTGATATATTCTCTGTTCTCCTCAGAGGGAAAAACTGGAATCAGTGTCTAGCAGCCACCCAACTGGCGATCAGTAGAGATAATTTTTCAGTCCTTCATTACATGAAGAATTATAGTGGGCACTGGAGTATACAGCTGTCAGGGAGGAGGTAGAAGGAATTCCTGCACCAAGTCCTTGGCTAGACTCCTTGAACCCCGAAGGGCCTTCCATCACATACACTGTATTATTGAGTTTAATGAGCCTATACTTTGCTAGGATTGGGCTAAGGGTTTTGAGTGTGTAATCCCACTTTACTACAGATGAGAAAACTAAGGCTCAGGGAAACCACATTTAGTTACCCAAGTCCATTTAGCAATAGGTAGAAGTCTGATTCCAAGTCTGAGTTTCAAGGATATGCTCTTAACATCTATGTTGTATCTGATCTCTGGTTTATACTTTTTATTCTTTCTACTACTGCCCTCGAATATCTTGTACTTTACCTCCTGTGCTCCCTGACAAACTCTAATCCATCGATTTAGAATGAGCTTATGTGTGGCTTCCTCACTTCTTACATACAAGATTCATTGCCTCCTTCCTGTGCTCCCATAGCAAGGAAAGGTTGAGTTCTACTTACCTGTGTAGGACTGATTTTCCCCCGTAGACTGCAAGGTTCCGGTCTCCCGAAGAATGGGAACCAACGTCTATGTATTCACGTCTCCCAGCACCATAACAATGCTTAGAAGATACTGGCGCTCAATGCGTTTGTAAGTTTGTTCATTATTCATAAACCTAAAAAACCAAACATCATCTTCTTCCTCCCTTCTCTCTCCCCTTTAATCCTTCCCATATAAAATTCCACATATTCTTTTACTCCTCCTTCAAGGTCCCTTCGTTTTGTACATGAAGTACAAATGCCTTAGCGTGATTTTTAGGGCCTTTGTGCTGAGAAAATCGTAAAATCTCAGGCCTCCTAGTTCACCTCTATGCTTTCTTACCCTCCCAACCCAGGTCCCCACCATCTTCTTCCTGCTCTCGTTTTCTCATGTTGTTCCCTCTTCTTGAAAACACATTATTCCATTATTTTCTTCATTATATTCTTCATTATTTTCTTTCAAAAGTTGCTTATTCTTCAATACGCCAGCCCAAACCCAAGCTTGCGCCCCACCTAAGAAGACCTTGCCTTCCCCTGTATTTCCAGGGTGATTTTTGTTGCTTTCTTTTTTTCTTTCTGTTTTTTGTTTTTTGAGGCAGGGTCTCACTATGTAGTTGAGGCTGCCCTGGAACTCACTATGTAGCCCAGGCTGGTCTCGAACTCACAGCAATTCTCCTGCCTCAGCCTCCCGAGTGCTGGGATTACAGGCGTGCGCCATCACACCCGGCCATTTTTGTTGCTTTCTTGTGATCCTTTTTTAATGTTCTATTTTATCCTCAGCACTTGGAGTTTACTTAGGCACCAAAAGATTACCTCACAGTGTTTTTGTAGATTCTCTGCCTTACTATCTCCAAATTTCTTGTAATATGTAGCACCACACTGCATCACCGGTCCCTAAGGCAGTACCCAACCCACGGAAGGTATTTAATAAATACATCTGACGGAAGAAGTGAACGAATGAGTGATGAACCAGAAGCTAAGTCTACATTCTAGCACCACTTTGCCATGAAATATATGATTTTTGGGGAACTGGATATGACTGAGCCCCAGTTTCCTTTTCAGTAAAAAGTGGTCAAAGAGACGGGAAGAAAAGGAGTGAATTGTTATTATTTGTTGTGGGCCAGACAAAGTTCTAGAGACTTTATTTACTTTACATGGCTACTGAGAGAGAGGGGGAGACAAAGATTACACTAGCAGTGAAGGGTGCGGCTTAGGATACCATATGGTTGAGTTCAAGCCCCAGCTCCACCACCTACCAACTGTGAACTTGGGCAAGTTCCATGAATCCTTTAAAGCTCCATTCCTTCAGTTCTGGTGATGATGAGAGAACCTACTGGCCAGCTTGCTGTGAGAGTTCAATCAAATGCTGCCTGTAAGGCACACTGCAGCCAATCAACTGGCACAGAATTGCTGCATAATAAATAGTACCTCATTATTAGTATTATTATTATTATTATATTGCATACATGCCTCATTATTCCACTTTAGCCAATGAAGAAGAGGAAGCCGAGGCTCTGAGACGTTAAACAGCTTGCCCAAACTCACGCAGATCTCCCTGGATTGTTTCCCTCTCTGCCTACAGAACTCTCCAGTGTAAATCCTTCTGGAATGGCAGAAAGCTTTGCCCCACAGCATGTGTTCTCATTTTAGGGTATGACATTCAAAAGCCACCACTATGTTGCAGTTTCTTGAATATGGGCAGATTTTAACATTTTAGGATCTAAACATTTAGTGTCTAACATTGAGTATCTGCAAAATAGGACCATGAGTCCTTCTGTTTACTTATTTTATTCTATTTTATTTTTTGGTTTTTTGAGACAGGGTCTCACTATGTAGTTGAGACTGACCTGGAACTTACTATGTGGCCCAGGCTGGTCTCGAACTCACAGCGATCCTCCTGCCTCAGCCTCCTGAGTGCTGGGATTACAGGCGTGCACCACAATGCCCAACTAGTCCTTCTGTTTAATAATGGGCATAATCTAAGTTGTAAAAATATATATGGAATATATAAATATATTCTTCCTGATGAGACTCAGGGCTAATGGTATTTTTTTCATCATTTGGCTTTATTTGAGAGAAAAAAAAAATCACTCACCAGTCCCAGGATCAAATGTTGTGGTGTGAGGATTCCGGTCCCATAAAGGGATCCACACAGCTCCTGAGTACTAGATAGGCATTTGAGTCCAGAGAGAAAAAAAAGAAGGAGATAGTGACCATCATTAGGACTTCTTGGGGGAGGATGTGCCATATACACATACAGAAGTTTCTCAGAGGACAGAAAAGTGGACAGGAGAAGGTTCTTTGTGGTAGAATGTGACTGCCAGCAAATGGCCTTGGAGCTGAAGTAGTCATGCCCAAGGTGTCCAGGAGGACTGCGGCTGCCGTCCCGAGCACACACATGGCTTATTTGTCATGCCTGTGACCTCAGGGTGTCAACAGGGGGCCAGGGAGCTGCTGCCTGCTGAGCCCTTCTCGCTACAAACATGGCCCGCTAAAGTGGCTGCAAAGCAGTTTGATTATGGGGAAAGAAATGCCAGTCTAACCTATTTGTCATTGATTTCTTAAGCAGATTCAGGGACACAGGATGAAGCACAGCTTTTGCAGGAATGGTTTAAGCTGGTCCTGGAGAAGAATAAATTAATGCGATATGAGTCCGAGCTACTGATCATGTAAGTAAGGCAACACAGATAACAGTGAGTCCTAAAAGCAAAGGGCTGGGAGGGGGCAGCTCGTCCTCCTGGTTTGAAGTCCCAGGATTTTTCCTCTTTGTGCATACAGAACAGTGATTGAGGCAAATTGATATTTTATGTCTTGCATATCATGCAGTCATTAGCATGAAGAATCTTCAATTGTCTGTTCTCTCTGTGGACTCCTGTGGTGGAAAGAGATTTAAGGGAGCAAGTCAGGAGCTGGAGGGCATTCAGACCATCCTCATCCCCCAGGCCTGTGGAGAGGAGCAGCCATGCACCTGCAGTGGGGAAGGTTGTGTCTGGCCTCACAGTGGATCTTGGGGCCTGCCCAGCCACTTCCTGTGGCTTTACTGAATGAAAGATTGAGGTCTGTCTGGCTGTCCTTCCTGCATGAGGGCTTCAGCCTGGTTGGGAGGTCAGAAAGTACAGATAGACTTCACCACTTTCTCCTTGGAAAGTTGAAGTTCACGATAGCTATGACCATCCTGAAGGGAAAGAAAATAATATTTAGTATAAACCAACCAAGCCTCAGGAGTTATATGCTGGGAGCTTTCATTTATGCTGTTTCATTTCATCTTCGCCACAACCTTGACAGATAACCCAGAGTACTTTTAAGGGTATTTGATAAATGCTACTATTCTTCCCTGCCTGGGTTCTAAAGCAAGTGAGAAGATGACTGAGTCTGTAGGTAGAATGTCAAAATATCACTCTTAGTATTAATAATGGCTAACTCGGCTAAGTTCACAGGGTGTGCCTGAGAGAGTCAGGGATACTGTCTGCTGCTGCTGGCCAAAGGCCTCCCCAAATAGTGCGTGACGAGAGGACTTTCTCCTCTAAAAAAGGTCACATGAGAGGGCGAAGACATGAGTACTGCACAGAGACAGGAGGAGCTTGGCTGAAGGACAGGTTTGAGTTTAGAGGCAGACCTGAATGGACAAAAAGAAGTGTCTTGGATTGGTCCGTTTAGATCCTTTTGAGAAGGTGATGCCACGACAGAGGAAGACAGGGGAGGGCCCCGGTCTCCATTCCTCACCTGAGCTGTCATTGGTCGGGGAGAGCACGACCTCAGCATGACAGTAAACTGGACTCCAGCAGCATTCAGCTCACTACACTCCTCCTAGAGAGCAGTCCATCTCAATGGGCTCCCACACAGGCCCACAAGAAGTTCACCGTCCATAACAAAAGGCTGGATATTGAACAATACAGTAACCTTGGCTCAAGTAGTATTAGAAGTGGTAACAATAATGACAATAGGGTTTAGCAAATGCAGGCTGAGGTTGGGGGGCCCCTGCAGGACAAACCCAGGGGCCTGTTCTTGGCCCTCAGCTTCTGCAATGGATCTGAAGCACTGATCACCCTTCACCTTGCTCTTTCCTCTCAAACTTTGCTTTCCTGGTTCTGGGATTCTGAATTTATTGTTTTGTCTTTCCAACCTTCCAGGTGCTTTTTTTCCTGGCTCCCTCTCTTTTGTTTGACTTCTACATGAAGTAATCCCAAAGCTTCTGTCTTCAGATTTCTCTTGCTCTGTGGTCGACCTTTTAGTACTGTCACGTGACTTCAACCATTGCCTCTTAACACTGCCACACCTGTGTGGGCCCTCATTTCTGCTGAGAGTTCCGGAGCAGCATTTGGGAGCCTCTCCAACACAGCCTGGCATAGCACACGGAAGCTGACCCCACACTGGGATGTAAGTGAGCAATCCCAGACACTGAAAAGTTAAGTTCCCACTGGCCTTCACGGAAGACAAACTTCACTTCTTGACACTGCTGTTCCTTGCAGCGAAAATAGAGTTCCCAGCACTCAAGCTTGACTCCTCCAAAGCCTCAGTGATCCAGCAAGTCGGATCCGTACCTAAGTTTTATTGTCTGCATTTGGACAAAACGTCTCACTTTGTTTCCTCCTTTTGGTCTTTTTGTTGATCACAACCAAGGATTGGGGAGTTGTTAGAGGTGATTCTTGAAGTCATATTGTACCTAAAAGAGAAAAGAGCTTCAGGTGGTCATCGCTGCTTCCTTGGACCATTGCAGTCACTTCTTCCCTCTTCTCCCCCGCTCGAGTCTGTCCCTTGGGGAATCTGTTGCAGAGCCTGCTGCCATCACATGCCGGCTTTCTGCTGATCCCCACTGTGTCCTGAGCCCAGCCTATCTCAGGAGTCTCTCTAGGCCCCTCCAGTGATCCCAGCAGCATCAAGGCTTTCCATGTAGAGATATTCTAGGATCTCTGTTTTAATAAGGAAAAAGAATGCTATAGCTGCTGTTACTAGGCATCTTTTTCAATGTTTCCACACAAATTCCTCGTATTCACAGTTGGAACATTTTATCGTACTCAGAGCCCAAGAACTAGAATTAGAAGATCATCAAAGCAGACTGGAACAGAAGTTAAGAGAGAAAATGCTCAAGGAAGGTGAGTATGGGGATATATTTGGGGCTCTTGTTAAAGTCATTTCCCCCCAGAAGGACGCTGAGCAGAGCATGCTGCAAATCCCAGAGTGGAGTGCTCCTCCTCCCAGCCCGAGAGTCAGGGAAGATGCAAAGCCAGCCTGTCTTTGGTTCACCGCCACAGACATGGAAGTCCCCGGGGAGCTTCACTCACTAGGCAGAGAGAGCAGCATGCTGCTCCGCCCCATGTGCCAGTAGGAACAAAGCCATTCATTCGCTTATTCGCTTATCCATCCATTCATTTAGGCAACATTTATTGAGAACCAAGTGTGAGCGTGCGCGTGGTGAGAGCAGCTCCTGCCTTCTGGGAGTCTGTGATCTCACTGGGGACACCAACACCCCGACCAGTCATCATTGCAGAGAGAGGGCCATAGCAGGTGCTCTGGGATCACAGAGGAGGGCGGGCCTGGTTCTGCCAGGCATTAGAAATGGGCTGGGCCAGGGCATTGAGTGGGAGACATCCATTCTACCCTGAAGGAAGAAAGAGTGGAAGTGAGCGCAGTCGACCTGATACATTGAGTTATCCACCATTGGTTCCAGACAGAAGCACATATTCACTATGTTTTGTGCCTGTGTGTTTGTGGGCCAAATCCATGAATGACTTACCTAGTTTTAGACCTAGATCTAAAAGAACAAGTTAAACAATGCCTTTAAAGCTCAAAGAACTAACCTTGCATCTTCCTTCACGGGTTACCTGGTACAGGGAAAGCAAAGAATAGACATCATGACTGTTTTTTACTTTATCCCACTTTACAGATTAGAAAACTGATTCAGAGAGAATCTAAATAATAGGTTCAAGATTAATTGTAGGACTCAGATTTAAAAAGATGGGACAACAAGTTAAAGTTTCCTGGTTTTTTCCCCCAACATGGAAGTGATTTGCAAGCTGTTCCTTTATAGCAACAATGTTCTATTTATAGCAAATCCTTTATACAGCTGCATTGTGTAAGACAAAAGTGATATATAGGGCTGAGGTGTAGCTTAGTGTTACAGTGCAAGGCCCCAGGTTCAATTCCTAGAACTGCCAAAGATAAAAATAAAATAAAATAAAAAACAAAGCAAAAAAAAGTGCTGTACATCTTTTATTTGTCAGAAGGAACTCCCATGTCTCCATCTCTAAGAAGCCTAAACCGAGAGAGGAATTTTTAAATTTTTCTATGGTGCTTACTAAATCTGGAAGACCAATACTGGAATATACCTAAGCTAACAAACCATTTTATATCATCTGATTTATAGATTTGATACCAAATTTTAATTTTTGTCGCAGGATAGTAAAATAAATACCCCCAAAGACTCTGTTAGTCACCTTTCATTCTCTCTCTTTTTAAAAATGCTATGAAGTGAAAGTTATGTTTTCTCACTCCCGTCTTTTGTAGCTATTCCCTCTTTCTCCCTGAGAAGTAGCTTCTTTGTTTTGTCTAGAGCAGAGCTTACCCGCCACATGAGCTTTCTCCCATTAGTTAGCAAAGAAAACATAGGAACTCTTCGCGCCTCTCTGGTGAACTCACTCTGATGCAATGATTTAAACAGTCCTGGTAGGGAATGCTCAGTCTCCCTGGGATGAAAACAATCAGTCTTGAAGATGCGCAAGGCTTCCTTCTGTGTTCCTCCCTAGGGTTTGTGACCTGGTGGCCGCGGTGCTGCATGGGGTGCCGACTCACTGAGTCCCCCCGCCCGCAGTTGGGTTCCGTCACTGGGGTGCCTGCCACTCTCCTGCAGGCCCTTGCAGCTAAGCCCTGTGGCTGATGTCACCTGCAGCCTGAGCTTTCTCTCAGTAGTGTTGCCTGGCCCATTCCTCCCACCACCTCTGCACGTACTGCATCAGTGAGGCCACACCATCTTCTGTCTCCCTCTACACAGGCCCCTGGGCATCTACCTCTGGCAACTTAGGGCAAGTGGGCTCTTCTCAGGTTCCTCCCATGCCACACGCAGCAGATGGAGATGGGAAAGCTGCCCTGTGGTGACCCAGAGGGTGCCCCTCCAGCTGGCCTCTTCCCAGCCTGGTGCAAGGGCCAGGACGGGAGTCTTCACACCCTCAGTGTTGCTTCAAATGATGTGAGACATTCCCTGCCCCTTTTGAGTGGTCATGGCCCAGCACGGAGACACCGAAACACGGAGCTGTCTGCCTCGCTCTTCTCCCTCGCATGAAACACGAGGTGCTAAGGGACCGGCCCGCCCCATTTGCCGTCCTCGCATCTAGTGCTTCCTGGGGCAGGCCCAGCACTGTGCCCCGTGAGAGCAGAGGAGTCCTTCCTAACTGGGCCAGGGCTCCTGTGATCCCCAGCGTGTGGATGGAGGGGCTAAGGGGAGGGGCTGTAGAATGATTCTCCCGTGGCAATCACCGGCTTGGCAAGACTGAAAGCTGGCTTTGCGATCCTGTCGAGTGTCAGAAAGTCATCACCGCCTGTTTCTCATGCTTTCCCCTCCTTCTGTGAGAGTCCTGAGCCCTGCACGATCGGAAACCTTGAAGCCCGGCCACTGGAAAGTGTCATGGAAAGCAGGGTCCACCCAGAAACCTCCTTCCTAGCACAGTAGGGACAGCTGTAGCCTCCCTTGGCTCCCGTGTGGTCTCTGCCACACACTGGAAAGACTACAGCGTGTCACTAGGTACAAATGACAAAAGGATTCTTGTCATTGCTGTTGCAGCCACTGAGGCAGACACTTGACCGGGAAACTTTTCTCAGTATTTTCTGGGAAACAGCCTTCCCGCTGTTTCATTGGTTTCTTTCTGGGGTGGGAGGGAAGGTCGGGAGACTTGATAGGGAATGGCTGTATTAATTTCCTTTGCACACAAAGGGGTTTTCCCCCTCCCTGCACACAGATTCTTGAGATGAAATCCAAGCTGACTGCTGCATAAAGCACTCACCTTTCTAATCTGTGGCTTTTTTTTTTTTTTTTTTTTTTTTTTTGGTACCGGGGATCGAACTCAGGTCCTTGTGCTTGCGAGGCAGGCAGCAGAATCCCTGAGCTAAATCCCCGGCTCTAATCTGTGGCTTTAAGGGCAGTTGCTTCATGTTAAATTCAACTCCTTGTTTTCTCCATTGAAATTAAAGGGCAAAACAAGTCCCTAACAGTGGAAAATGCTCCTGCCCTGAATCCTCCTGGGCCCAATCTCACCTGAGGCCTCATGGTTTTCTTCCTTATTTTCTTTCTTATTTCCTTCTCCTTGCTTTAGAGAGTCAGAAAGATAAGAATGACCTTAACGAGGAGCAAGAAATATTCACCAAGATGATGCAAGTGATTAAGCAAAGGGACGAACTTGTGGATTCCTTGGAGCAACAGCGCATCAAGGAAAAGGCCGAGGACCAGCGCTTCGAAAGCTTTGTCTTCTCCAGGGGCTGCCAGCTGAGCAGGACGTGAGGAGCCCCTGTCCCTCCCTGAGGCCAGCCCAGCACGCTATACTGTCTCCTTCTGGAGCAGAAGTTATACCTCCTGCGTGGTGGCGATTTTTATTTTTAATTAAAATTTTCATATGTACTACAGCTTCCCAAGATCTTTCCGGAGATTATAATGAAAAAAAAAAAAAAAAAAACCACAAAGACTGTTTTGGAATTGACAGCCAACGACAGCCAGGCTCTGGGATTGGAGGTGTTCTTGGCGGACGACCAGCATTGTTTTCCCTCAAAAGTGACACAAAGACTTGACTTTCCCACTGCTTTCATCATTTTCCTTCCCAATTCATTGAGTTACATGTTTTAAGTCTTTTAAGAAGCTGCCTTTTCATTAATACATCCATATTTGCCCTTTTTTTTTTCATGGATGACCAGTTTCCAAATGTCAGAAACCTGCAGCAGCAGTTTAAAGATTAGGTTAATATTTAAATTGTGTTTCCAGAGAAAGAGGAGAAATCTCAAGATTACTGATTACATAAAGCAAATAACTCATATAGCAGGTGTTAATTCAATCCAGGGTGAATTTAATTTACCAGGTGTATTTATAAGCCTTAATATAATATACATAAGCAATGAGAGTTTATAGAACATTGGAGCCTTAGTTTTATTTTTTAAAAAAGGAAAAGGAAATAAAGCTTTAACTTTATGCCTGCAGGATTGCTAGTTTTCACCAAATCCTGTTGGCTTAGGGAAGCTTTTTGTTCCCACAGTGCTCTGCTCATGGCCCCTGGAGCATAATGATAAGCATTTTTAGAAATGAATGATTTTGAAAAGCTTTTAAAAATAAGTGTTGATGAAGGCAATAAAGAAAAACTCCTTCACTTGTTGAGAAAACATTGCCAAGGCTGGTGCTGCTGCAGGAAAGGGCCCAGTAGAGGCCCAGGAGCCCAGTGGGCCCAGGAGAGGGAGGCCCCTTGCTGCCCAGTCTTAGGCTTGAGCAGAGCTGTGTTTTGACTCCACTCCAGGGACAGACCAGGGGAGCTCTGCAGGATGAGGAAAAAACCACTTCTGACTTCCAGGTAGAGCCAAAGGGAGCGGATCCATGTATGCAGTCCCAACTTGGGCCATGGCTTTGTTTTTATGACATTTTCCATGTGCACAGACAGCTGGTGGGTGGAATTTGTACTCTGACACACTGTGCTTCCTGGGGTGTTTCGACAGTGCAGATGGGGACCAAAGAAGGGAAGATTTCAAGTGGTGACGTGTTGTCATAAAATATGTGACTGTTCTCCCTCAGAGGGATCCTTTGAAGATTTCGTGTGTTATGGACAAGAGAGAGAGACAAAAGCACTCTTTTGCACATTTGGCAACTCAGTTCTGCAAGTGTTTAAATGTGTCATTAGACAATAGGTGCTTGGCAACAGCTGGCTCTGACCAGGTAGCACATTTCTCTCGAGATAAGCTGACCCAGGAGCCACTTCTGAAACGCTGTCTGTGCACATCTGGCCCACTGACAGACCAGAAAGATGCATACAGACTTCCCTGGAGTCGGCCAACATTTTGGGTGGCATTTAAACCCAGGCTTTCCCTGGATTCTAAGTTCAAGGGCTTTAGGTTATTTTTCTTTCTTTCTTTCTTTCCTTTGTCTTTTCCTCTTCTTTCTTTTCTAAGAATCAAGACTTCTAGTGCCTTGAAGTCTATTATTAGGGAATTCTATTGTTGGGAAATATATAGAGGCATCTATCTACCTATCTACCTAGGAGAGTTATAACACTTCTGTTTATCAATTTTTATTTATTTGTATGTTTAGTGGCAATTGATAATTCTGATAATTCTGGCTTTCCTGCATTATAATATGGAAAAGACCTATTAGTATTACAAAAGTTGGAATATAAGCCACTCAATACAGATGTCTGGGTTTTTTTTGGTGCCAATGATCAAACTCAGGACCTTGCACTTGTGAGGCAGGCACAGCTCCACTGAGCTAAATCACCAGCCCCCTTAATACAGATGTTTGAAGCGGTCAGTTGTATAGTCTTAAAGATTTGTGAAGATAGTCCGAATCGTATTTTCAGCCGTCAGGACTTTAAAGGTAAGAATATGGATGCACAGGAATGTTAACTCGTTTTAAGAAAGTGATATATAAGTCCAGTTTTTATTCTAGAGCCTGCAGAAGTACTCAAATCTTTTGAGCCACTTAAGTATAAGTACACTCTGTGATGCTTGCATACATTTGACAGAGGATGCTCAAGTAGGTAATTTCTGCATTATTATTGTGCAGAAGAATAACTACGACTTCTTTTAATGTGTCATATTTTCAGCAAAAAGAAAGATTCTCCCAAGAGTACCAAGAAAACAGGATTGTTGGCCCTATATTCTGTTAATGCATGAGAAATACAATTTGTTTACTTTCTCCCACAGAGTATGTTCTGTGGTTTAAGGTGTAACCTTATCTAGCCAAGTGTAAAATCTAAACCTCATACTTAACAGCTTCTACTTATGCTAGCTTTCTGTTTTGCCAGTACATACAAATCATTTAAATGACATTCCCAAAAGTACACAAATATGGCTATTGAATTAATTAAAATGTTTCCATTCCTTACAACTGGGAAGGTTTGACACCCTCAAACTGTAAAATGTTGTACATTTTGAAGACAGTTTCTTTGCATGCAATATAAGCAGGATTGTGATGAAAAGGTATGGAGCCTTCACAATGAAGACAGTCAAGGCCAAATTATTTAGGACTCCAAATAGGACTTCAAGCTTCAACCTCCAATCATATTTCATAGTCTCCCATAGTTTCCAAATTAAGCCAAAGGGCTTATGATAGTTTTAATCTCCAAATATTACATAAGTTGGACCAAGAGGACCATTGTGAAATGTATTCTCCCAAACTAGTCATTTATTGATCTACTTATTTAACATTCTGTGCCCTTGGGGTTCTGAAAGCCCTAGGTAGGTGCTGAGGTACAGAAAGAATTGTAGTCCTCCCCTCTATCTCCTAAGAAATACAAAGATCAAGAAAATAGCTACCACCCCCAAATCCAAAGGTTAAAAAACTATTTTTTATAAGCGTTAATCTATTCTCCTCACGTTTATGTCAGGCATAAAGACTTCCATCCCCCACTATCACAGTGCTTCTTTGGCAGTGAAAATAAGTTCGTGTTTCTAAAACTGTGAAAAATAATATCAGGTTGTACTATTTCATTTAAACCTTGACTTTGGCAGCGTTAGGCTGCTTGGAATCAATCAATGCTGAGATGCAGCACGTTAATTGCAACTGAGCAAGGAAGTGGCAGGTGTTTCCAACTCTGATGAGCTGCGATGAAATTGATGTTTTCTGCATTCGGGAGGCAAATGACAATTCAGCAGTGTCTCTCTTCCCAGGAAGCAGATTTACAGGCTTTTTCTTCCAAACTGAAAATGGCAGCATGCCCCACCCAGGTGGTTGATCAGAGAACCACCTCCGTGGGGCAGAGGTGGCAGGGGGCAGCTTGGGCCACCGCATGAGCGGAGAGAGTGGCAGTCGCTGGATGTGGAGAGCTCAAATTGTCATCAGAAGGTTCATGTGCAGGGACGAGTGTACACTTTCACCTACTGTTTATCTTCTAACCTCAGCTTGTAAAAGATTAATTTGCTCCTACATTCGGGAGCTATTCGTGTGGATGGAAATGTGTTCTCTGTGCGTCAGTCTAAAAACTGAAAGGAACCAAAAGTAAATGGTTTTGTGTCTCAAGAATCAAAATATATTTATGTGGGCTTGTTCTGGCCCCTCTGAGGGTGGCTCCATTTCATCTCTTTCTTCTTGGTGAAAGAACCTGGGCTAAGCTTCAGTTTCGAGTGGGAGTCTGCGGATTAATGTTGGATGCTTTATTACCTGTGGGCACCTGGCAGGACTTACCTGAATCCCTTGCCATCAGTCCCACTGGGAGGAGGAGCACAGGCACTCACCTCAGGTGCATTCTGTCAACAAAGAAAGCTCTTTTCACGAATGGAGAGAGGGAGGATGAGGGCCACCCTGGCCCGGCTGCCCAGTTCCTCTCTGCTTCTTCCCCGGGGAAGCCACTCACACAGTAGGAACAGTCTCCTGTGCACAGACCTGACTGCTTCCTCTAACTTACACTCTTTTAGGACCAAAAGTTTCCTCGGTTCTTAATTCCAGCGCATGAGCAACATATAATGCACCAGAATTGCCACTCGAGATAATCAAGTGGTCAGTCCCAGGAGCTGTCACCATTTCCCACGCAGTTCCTCTCCCTTGTTTAAAAGCTTTTGTCTGATCAATTACTTGAGAGGATTCACCTTTCCATTGAGTATCAGTAAAAAAATGTTTACAATCACTCTTTTTGGCAAGCACTGACCACCTTCCCTGGAGCGCTGCAAGCTCACCATGGGTCAGCTCCTCTGCCCTCTTCCTGCCCTGGAGCTGCAGACTCTCAGCTTGTTACCCCTGGTATCTGCAGCCCTCCGTCCCTGAGCCAGGCTAGGCTGGGTCATTTCATGCTCACTCTCCCAGCTCATTTCTAAAAATTAAAGAAAAAAAAAACAAAAAACAAGCAAGAATGTGCAAGGTCCTGGGTTTGATCCCCAACATTGCAAAAACAAAAACAAATAAAAAAAACGTAGTATCACAGCTGTCCTGGGAGCCCCTTAAGCACCTGCTCACGGTGATACCTTCATGAATTCAGCCCATTTCACCTGCGAGGTGCTGTAATAAGCTCTGCATGTGCATTATCCCATTGAATCCTACACTTGATCTTAGCCAAAAGGTGAGAAGCGATCCCATCAAATCCCGAAAGCAAGCATCATCAATGTAAGTCTTACCCCCATTTTTAGAGCACAAAGAGATTCAGGCTCTTAACTAAGGTAGTCAAGGTCTGCAGTAGCGACTGGACCCAACTGGTGGCCTCCAGAGCCTGAGTCCTTGACCACCAAGTTGCATGGCCTGGCTCTGGTGCCTTGTGCCACCTGCTCCTTCCCTTCCTGCCTTGGGTGGGTTCCCATTGCCATTCTCCCCTAGCACACCAGTGCATGCTCTGCTGGGAGCTCATCTGCGAAGAGAAGCCAAAGCTTTCTTTTGATACAGTATTTTGTGTTTCCTCCTGAGCTGCATTTATATATACTCTAAAATGAAAATAATTTTCTGAAACAACCTAACTGCCTCCCCTCACAAAAAGCTTTCAGTATGATCCTCTGGGGAGATCCCCCTTGTTTATCCTGGGTGATCAAGTACTCCTGACACAGTCATGACCCCCCGAGGGATGCTTTTGCCTAAAATTAATCTACAGGTGCTGCAGAATTACATCTCAGTCCCAGGGACAGGGAGCCAAGAACACAGGGCCGAGGGAGTTTGGAGGGGTCCAGTGGAGTGACGTGATGTGGAATTTGCAGGCCCCTAGAGAGACTTCAGAGGGGGGAGAGAAACCAGGAGGATGGGGACAGGGCATCAGC